AATCAAACATAATAAAAAAAATCACTGTCTGACTATTAGTATTGTTATTTTATTCATGTTAATCTGACTTTCTTTCTAATCTGACTCTTTGTTGCATTTGGAATGTATTGAAGTATCAGTGCATGCAACAGTCCAGAAGTCACCATTGTCTGAAAACAAACCAGCTTGGTGAATAGATGCATGATTCAGCACATTAAGCCCATCTCTGGTGGGATGTGGTTGTCATGGTGACAGCTGCAGAGGTGACCTCACCCTACTTAACCTGCCGTGTGTCTCAGTGGTGTTCTGTTAATGGTGTGACATCACCCCTTGTGCAGCGCAGCTACTATGGCAACAGCCAGTGATTGGCAGCGTGTGTGCGTCCCCCAGGGCCTGAAACATGCCCCACCTTTTGTAATTAGGATTAACGGGTTTGGAGCGGCCAACTGCAGAGTAAAATTGGGTCTTTGGGAAACAATCAAACATGAGGAGCCATCAAGATGGTCATCAGTAAGGAATCCTAATAAATAATCTCTTCATGTACAAGATTGATAAGGCTGTTCATGGAGAGGTTAGAAGTTCATTGAGAAAACGGGTGTTTTATCTTTGATTAATTATGTGAATAACATCCCATCTGGAGATGGGACATACTAAATCTTTTTGTCGCTGTGATTTACAGTTAATGATCTCGCCCATTCCCTCATACCATTTTAATTGATTTAACAATAAATAACCATTCCTTATCATCACAGAACACATGCTGTGTTTGCACGTGCAAAACCTGTCACTACAATGCTGAAATGTCGCCAAGAGTTTAAGGGATTTTTTTCACATTTTTTTTTAGCATATAGAATACTAACACATTATTTTATGTTTTGTGTGTGTGTGTGTGTGTGTACCACTTTTAATGAGGTAAAACTGACTTGAAATACCTTGCCACTTACTGTAGGTTAATATGCAAAGCTAAATGTGTTTGTAGATGCATCCAGTCATTAGCACTGCTGCTAGATCTGGTTTTTGTGAACTCATTCATGATTCATGAATCACTGTGAGTCTGTAACTAATATCACAGAGTGGTTCTGAGTCTAGAGCACAGCTTCTCCCAGGAGCTTCTGTACTGTCTGCTGTCAAGCCACAGTTTAGATCTGAGCATGGACTGTGAATGGAGACAGAAATCTGCTGTAGATCTTTTTTTTTTTTTTTTTATGTGTGAGGCACGATTTGCTTTAGCTAGTCTTAGAAGTGGCATTATACCCTAAACACACACACACACACTGGGGTTGACTTGCTCAGTGGAGCGACGTTCTTCTAAATCCTCTGATATTTCAGTGATTAAACAGAAGCTCATTAAAACGTATCTTCAAAGCACACAATCCACTGTCTGGGCTCTTCTCATGTACAGTGGTGTGAAAAAGTGTTGGCCCCCTTCCTGATTTCTTATTTTTTGCATGTTTGTCACACTTTAATGTTTCAGATCATCAAACAAATTTAAATATTAGTAAAAGATAACACAAGTGAACACAACATGCAGTTTTTAAATGAAGGTTTTTATTATTAAGGGAAAACAAAATCCAAAACTACATGGCCCTGTGTGAAAAAGTGTTTGCCCCCTAAACCTAATAACTGGTTGGGCCACCCTTAGCAGCAACAACTGCAATCAAGCGTTTGCGATAAATCAGGAAGGGGGCCAACACTTTTTCACACCACTGTATGTGGGATTATTTCCACACTCCCGTGTTTCATCTCATGGGAGGGTCATTAGAGGCTCATGTAGAAATATGTTCAGCACTGAAATCCCTGTAAATGGTGCTCTGATCAGGATGGCAGGTTGACAGAGGTTAGAGAAATATTAGCTTTTTCTGGAAGCCTTTCAAAACTCAGTGATTGTTAAGATGAACCATACGAGTTGCTGTATGTGGATCCACTTTGAATTATATTGACTTTATTTATTTGTTTGTTTGTTTATACTGTAACACTACTTCACCCAAAAAGGAAAATTCAGAAAATTCTGTTCTACTGTCGTAGACAGGAGATATTTTTATTTATTTATATTTTTTAAAATGTTTTATGTGTTCTGTAGAAGGAAAAAAAGACAGGATGGTGAATTAAAGGAATAGTACACCCAAAAATGTAAATTTTGTCATCATTTACTCACCCTACTGTTGTTGCAAATCTGTATGATTTTTTTTGGGGTCACACTTTATTTTAAGGTCCAATTCTCGCTATTAACAAACAATTAACTACGACTTTTGCTTCAATAAACTCCTAATTTGCTTCTTATTAATAGTTAGTAAGGTAGTTGTTAAGTTTATGTATTGGGTAGGATTAGGGATGCAGGATATGGTCATGCAGAATATGTGCTTTATAAGTACTAATAACCAGCCAATATGTTAATAATAGGCATGCTAATCAATAAACAGTTAATATGTTAATAATAGCTATGCTAATAAAGAACTAGTTATTAGTGAGAATGGGTCCCTATACTAAAGTGTTACCATTTTTTTTTCTTTTGAACAAAAGAAGATGATATAAATGTTGGTACTCAAAAAGTTGCTGGTGGCCATTGACTTCCATAGTATTTTTTCCCAAGTCATGGAAGTCAATGATTAACAGCAACTGTCTGGTTACAAAAAATCTTCAAATTCAAAAATATGTTATTTTGTGTTTAACAAAAGAAAGATACTCATATTGGTTTAGAACAACTTGAGTATGAGTAAATGATGGTAGATTTTTTTTGTGAACTATCCATTTAACATAGTATATATATATATATATATATATATATATATATATATATATGGAAACAGATTTTTTTTTGTCGTATGCAAACAATCACAAAGCTAGCCCGTCGCACAAAAAAAAAACCACCAAAAAAAAACCACACATATGCAAACTCAGTTCAAATATCATACAGTCAAAAAGCCCAGAGAAATGTGAAAGAACAAGTACTACTACCTTTTGAACAGCCACTTAACCATTTCAGAGCTGACTGGAGCCCAGTACATTTGACACTGATACTTGGTGGTGTTCACTTCTCCAAAAGCCACTTCACTGCCAAACTGAGCTTTTCTGAATGAGCCTAGCAGGTTCCTCCTCAAGTATGTTAATACTATTTTATTATTTTTGCTTGTTTTTTTTCAAAAGAGGGCTGAGCGAATGCCATTACTGACGTCATTAGTAGGACTTCTGAAATGGAGGCATTACAAAAAGTTTATGGAGCTTGCAAGGCTTCATATGTTAAATGCAGACCAATTCACGGTTTAGCATTTGTTTTGGAAGTATACTTTACTGATGAAATGATTTGTGGTTTTTAGAAGATGACTGGTAATATTTTTGTCAGCATAGTTAGTCATGAGTTCAGCAGTTTTGACCTGTGACACAAAAACCAGGAATAGCTTGAACATTCATAGAACACAACGAGTCATTTTTGATGAATGTGATTCACTTAAATGCGCCTTGTGAGTAAAAAGGATATGAGTGCCAGCAGAGAAATGATCACATTAAAAGACCAAAACAACACAAATGAGCAAATACTGCATTCAGGAAGTATTTCATCACATTATAAATCATGTTTGCCCACATGAAGCTGTTTTTGTGATGTGCATAGATGATATTGGTTTACAAACAGGCGTATACATAGGGGATCAGAAACCACAAAATAAATAAAAAATCTGGAGTGAACTGCTTCTCTTTTAAATGACAAAGTTGAATCCATTTTACTTTGTTTTTATTATATTATTCTATTTAAATGTTCTATTTCTTCATAAATTACATAAATACATGCATTTAACTATTTGAGTATTAAATTATTGTTTCTAACCATGTTTGACACTTTTTTTGTATTTTATTTTTGATTTTATTTATATTTATTAGTTAATGGATTGATTAATTATTTACTTAATAAAATATTATTTATTTATTGCTCTCAGGTTCATGGATGGACTGACAACAATTTCTAAATATTATTTATAAGAGGACCAGAGCGATTTACAGTCAGTGGAACATTTTGGACTGCTCAACTTCAGCGTCCTACATAATTTATAGAATTTAACTGACATGTGGTCAGAGATATATTGCAACAACTTTTAAAGTGCTTAACCTTTTGGATTTTAGTGCCGATATTAACCTGCGTGTTTCATCCTATGTCATTTTTTGTAGCAATATTAGTAGATTAATAACTGTACGACTTATTACGGTAAAATTTGATTAAAGCATTACACAGGGCCTTTTGCTTCTGAATCCAGATCTATATTAAAAATATCAATATTTTCAGACAAGCGCACCCAGCAAACAAGTCTCTCTCCTCCTCCCTCTTTCTCTTGTTCTGTCGTGGATCCTCCATACACTACAGATTTGTGTGATTGTGGCGCTCTGACTGTGAAAAGCTGCATTGCAGCACTGCTGTTAGCCGAGTGGAGCTCAGCTGAGATGAAATCGCCCTGCGTTAGCGGCTAGCATACAGCAGAGTCCGGGTTAATGCATTTTGCTGAGCCAAAGTAGAGCCAAATAAAGCAAAACAGAGGCTGGCCTTATTTAGCAGCATGCTAACCCACTTATCAATAATGAACGGGGATGGTGGAGGAGAGAAATGATGTTGCTTAAAGGTGTGGTGGCCATGTCTTAGCTGGTACTGTGCTTCTGTGTATGTGTTTGTGTGAGTGAGTGAGTGTGTGTGTGTGTGTGTGTGTGTGTGTGTGTGCTAATCTGAGTTCACCTTGTGGATTTCTTAGGCTAGTGACCTGTGTGTGTGAAATCAGCTGCTATGTCTTAGCAGCTCATATTTCAGATCAGACTTCCACAGGGACAGACACACACACACACACACACACACACACACACACACACATATTAGCCAGCACATCTCATAGATGCTATGGTTTGTATACAGAGGTGATGATATTTTCTAACCCTCACACAACCCTGCTGATTTCAGTACATTTAAAGAAAATCATGATTTTATTTATGAGTATTTCAAATAATGGGAGAACTTTTGTATTCATTATTTGTGTTTCTGTTTGCAGGCCGGCTCATGACATCAGTCTGGAGGAGTTTGATGATGAAGATTTGTCTGAAATCACAGATGATTGTGGCATAGGCCTCAACTATGACTCTGACCCTTACGAAAAGGTATGAACCATTCACAATAGGGTTGTGCCGATAGACGATAGTATCGTGTATCGACCATAGTCAGAGATATTGATGATAGCAGATGTCTTTGTCGATAGTCAAGACGATATTAGGCTCATTCTACTATTAATGTATTAAATTATTATTATTATTAGGCGGCCTATTATAATTCAGCTATTATTATCAAATTGCCCCGCTATTTTACTTCAGCACCACACTTACACACACACACACACACACACACATACACACACAAGCAAATGAGGATTAGAGCCTGTAGCCGGTGAAGGAGTCTCCAACCACAAACACAGACGTACATTGTCTGCTGATATAAGGTATTTCGTTGCACTTTAACAAGTAATCTGAACGGCCTATATATGTGCAATATTTTAACTGAGCCCTCACTAACTGAGTTTAATGCCACAGTTATGTTAGAAAGCATCTCATTCTTGTCTCTGTGGTGGAGCGTCGGACTCGTCATGGGGCATGTGGTCCGGAGCGCTGTATATGACTGATGTATCCGTTCAATTTAACTTTACTCCAAATTTATGAACTTACCTGTTTTAAATACTTTTATATTTAACGTGTTTGTTTATGTCCAATATTTAGTGTTAAACTGTTGGGTCTTTAAAATAAATCTACTTTTGATTTTCACCGTTGACTGATTTTGCAGACCTTTTATACTGATAACTTCCTTGCGCCGATGCGGCAAACTTGTCACAGGACGCGCGGTCCTAATAGCGATGTATGACAGTTGTATCCAAATATATATGAACTTGCTGTTTTAAATATTTTTATATTAAACTAATATTTAATTAATTTATCAGTATGTTTGAAAGTATATTATTTGGATTATTGGTGCTTCTATAAGCTCTTTCTCGCGCACCCGCGCAGTTTAAAACACCAAATAGTTATGAAATAGCCTATGACAAGTACAGAGAGTCTCTCTCTTGCCCTCACCCACCCTTAATAATATCGTGTATCGGCGATCTCACGGGCTGGCGATATGACGATTTGAAAAATGACCATATCGCCCAACACTAATTCACAATGCATTTATTTTATTTTATTTCATTTCATTTCATTTAATTTCATTTAATTTCATTTAATTTCATTTCATTTCATTTCATTTTATTTTATTTTATTCAGTGAGTCTAGTGTACTACAGTCTAGTGTGGGACTTAAAGGAAACTGTAAGCTCTACTGTGCTCAGCAGGATGTTTATTTACTCAGGAAGAGCAGCTAATATACACATATTTACATATGGATGAATATGTGGCTTATCGCACCTTTGGAAATAGTGTCATCACTTCACTTGGCAGTCATGCATGTCAAAGAGCTCATTTGCATTTTAAAAGGCTCTAGGTTTGAAAGCATAAATTCTATCTGTCTGTCATCTTTCCGTCGTTCATCTATTTGTCTATGAAAATTGCATTTTGAATGAATTTCTACTCCCTTACATTCAGATTTTTGATGCAATTCCGCATCCTGTTTGCTATGTCAATTAAAATTCAACTCAAATTCTGGATTTACCTTTAAAAAACTTTCTCAGTTGAATTCTGAATGTTAACATTAAATGGAATGAAAACATGAATTTATATTGAACTATTGTAAAACATCCAAATGTAGAAGTCTTTTCCCTTTGTACTGTGTTAATATGGATGTGGAAATATTTGTATTTGATGCTATGTGTGTGCTGGCTGCACAGAGGGATTGTAAATGTTTTATTGTGGTGGCGGTGTGCCACGTCTGCAGTAGAAGGGCTGGTGACCCAGTGAAGTTTGCTGCTATGCAGACCTCTCTTCTCAGCTTTCTGTACCCCAATCCTATTACAACAAAACCACTTCTGCTCCTAATTTTTTCTGCCTGTGTTCTCTGCAAAATGTTCAAACAAGCATGTATCGCTTCGATTATAACGCCTTACATGCCTTTGGTGTGTCAAATTGATTTAAATGCAGTGATTCGGTCCACAATCGCAGTCTGTGGGCATCATAGCATGCAGTGACCTCACATTGTTCAGTATGTAGGCAGATTGATTAGTTGGTTCTGGATGGTGATTGGACGGTCCATAGGCTGGTCATTTATTGATTGGTTGGTTGATCTCAAAGTGGGCGACAGAGTCCATGCAGTGTGTTTGGCTAGTTTTTCTTTTTTTGCGACAGTTAGCGGCTCTATTTCAGCACACACAAACGCCTGTCCCACAGGATTATGTCACGTGGAAGCAACACTGCATCGTGTTTGAAGGGCCTGTCCCTTGTCTATGCAACTAGAGTCTACAAAATCACAGAAGACATCCTCTGTGCCTCCAATGAACATAAGAAGCCTTCAAGGTTTATACAAACAATAACTGTTGGTTTGGAAATATTTTTTCGGTGTCGTATTAACTTCATATTAGTATCTGAGGTGTTATCATTAATGATAAACATTTTTTGTGAAGGTGATTTATATATTCCTGTGAAAAAAATGACATTTCTGATTTTGTTTTTCATTTGAACAGGTCAAGAAGGTAGTTATATTGTAGCCTTTTTTGGTGACCGTATGCAATTGCTAGGGATGTTTGACAGGTTAGCAACAATAACCAAGGAGGAGGAGCTTATCAGAGTATATTTGTGGACTGATTGTAATGGACATTTTCTACCATGTGGCTGTGATGTTGACATTTATACCATTTGACATTGAAAATCGGTTTATTATGGAAGCCCGTTTCTGCCACAGGATAAAAAAAATATAAAGGTAATTGTGACTTTTTATCTCACAATTCTGAAAATTTCCTTTTTTTCTCAGAATTGCAAGATATAAAGTCAGAATTACGAGAAATAAACTCAGAATTGCGAGATATAAACTGGCAGTTCTGAGGAAAAAAGTGTGACATTCAGATTTGTTTATTTTAATTTTTTTTGTAATTCCGAGTTTACATCTTACAAATCTGAGTGTATATCACACAATTCTTTTTTCCAGCATGGAATAAAAAAAAAATAAAAAAATTCTCACAATTGTAAGTTTATATCTCAAAGTTCAGACTTTTCTTCTCAGAGTTATAAATATTTTTGAACGGAAACGTTGTAATTTTCTCCAAACAGTAATTTAATGTTTATAGTCATTTTATTTATCCCATCACAACCACATTTGATTGTTTTTGTGCTAAATGTTGTAATGACACTAATGCTACAATGATAAATTCCCATTTAGCTCACTGAGCTTTCTCCAGCCGCATAACAGATCTTTTCAGAAAGAAACAATATTTGTAAAAATCTAAAAATATGGTGTTCTTCTACCTCTCTGATAACAGATTAAAGTCCTACAATTACAAAGGGAGAGATACTGTATATCACTTCTCCAGTGAAGACCACTCATCTGCTCATCTCTTAAAATCAGTTTCTCCGATTTTTGTTTTATCCATTTTTCCTTTTATGCCTTATGTGAAACATTATTTTTATTTATGTGATTTCTGTTAGAGCTTTCAGAAAGCCCACAATTTAGTACTATGTTACTATGTTATGTGTAATTTTTCTTTTGCAGCTTGAATCAGTTTTTGACATTCCATATCACACATCTCATGACAAAAACACACCTACACATGCTGTGAAATATAGATACATTTTAGCTGTTTGTGGCTGTGCTCATTGTGCCAGTCAGTAACGATTGTGACATTTTGACATTAACGTTTCTAGAATGATTCTTGTACAGATCATTTCCAGCCAACAATTCCATCCTTCCAAACACTCTCTCACTCTCTCTCCAGCTTTCTCACCCTCTCTCTCGCTTCCTTCATGGATTATTCATTCTGTCACACAGAGCTCCGGCTCTCAGAGTACAGTTAACAGATTTGGGTTTCTGGGGTTTTGCATATTACAGTATGCTGTTGATGAACGTTAACTGAGCAGAGTAGCGTGCAGTATTGGAAAAACAACATGAAACGGCATTCACAACTCATTTAACTTGCGTTATTATGACATATTTCTTAATGAAACAGAATATGTGGCTTAAAATCATGTGGGGCACTGCTTCCCTCCTTTGCAGCCTTACCTACATCAGCAGAAAAAGAAAAGAAAAGGAATTTAAGAGTAGGAAGAATGTTTTGATGAAAGCAATTAATTTTATTATTAAAAAAGTGCAAGATATTGGTTTCAAAAGAGCACATTATGAATGTGATTAGGATCTTCATGAATTTGTTAATAATTATTATGATAAAAAAAAATTATATTATTGTCCATTATTTGTTCCCTAGCTGTGCACCTTTCATTAAGATGGCTGAAATATATAAATATATTATTTCCTACCGTCTTTCAGGCCCACCCATTGTGTAGGCTAGAGCTAAAGTGCATGTTTAAGGGTTAAATCTGCAATTATAGTGTTTGAAGACTGTGTGTGTGTGTGCGCGTGTGTGTGAGTGATTAGCTAAGCAGCATGTGCCATCTTAGTGTCTGTCCAAACTGCTCATAATGAGAGATCAAAGACGAGGGTGAGATGTTTTTCTTGTGGAGCAGTGTGTGTGTGTGAATACTCAGTACGTGTGTGTTGTTCTACGTACATTTGTTTGTGCTTATCTTACGCATTTGCTTTCTAGTGCATGTATACAGAGGAAATATTTAGCTGGTAACATTTCATCACATTGCAATCTGCTAAACTGAGTGGTGTACTGTGGCTCAGAACCCCAGAGGAAAGACGTTGAGTTAGGGCTGGGCCATGATTCGATAACGATAATTATCGCGATATAATTTTCCTCGATAAAGCGATATGAAGAGTTCAATAAATGTTCGATATAATGTTTATGCGCCAAAAGCGGAACGAAACAGCGCGACTCATTTGAATCGCGCGCCACACGGACCGTTTATCCTCTTGGATCAAAGTTCAAACTGCCGCGCGGCGAAGGTCACTAGAGCAGATGCGTTTACTTCAGTCACGTGAGCACTAAACAGCGCTGAGAGATCCAGTGTGAAGCGCTTGTATTCAGTGATGAACACAAATAACTCGGTGATTTAAACTAGTTTAAAGTCAAA